TTCATTGAATTAGCAAACTGCTTTGGATCTTACGGACATTTTAACAATATTAATTCTTAATTCTCCCAATGCGTAATTATGAGAGACCTTTCTTTTTCCTTCTTTCTTTCTTTGTTTCTTCTTCTCTTTTCTTTTCGTGTGTGTGTGTGTGTGTGTGTGTGTGTGTGTGTGTGTGTCTGTCTGTCTGTCTGTCTGCTATTTCTTTCAACGGCATTTTGTAATTTTCATAACAGGGGTCATTAGTTCCTTAGTTGGACTTATTCTTAGTTCATTTTTTGTTTGTTTGTGTGTTTGTTTTTAAGATGAGATTTCTTTATGCTGTCCAGACTGGGCTCAAGCTTCTGGACTTGAGCAACCCGCCTGTCTCAGCCTAGTGAGTGGCTGATATTTTGAGCGGGGTCACTTTCATAATCTCTCTGTCAGCAACTTCAGTCTACGACCACACCACCCTCAATGCACCGGATCTTGTCCAAGCTTTACCAGCAAGTTCATTGTAAAAATGCTGCTGATTTTGGGGTGTTGCTTTTGTATCCTGCACATTACCTTACTCATTTATCAGTTTTGATGGAGTCTTTAGGTATTTTTCTACATAGAATCATGTCATTTGCAAAGAAGGAAAATTTGACTTTCTTTGTTCGTATTTGTATGTCTTTTATTTATTTTCTTGATTTATCACATTCCTGTGGAAATGGCTTTTATTGCAAAAAAAAAAAGCAAAAAATAGTGAATTCTGGATAGATGTAGAGAACATTCCACACCGCTGGTAGAATGTAAATTAGCACAGGGGTCACGGAGAACAATATGGAGTTTTCTGAAAAAACAAACAAGACATAGATTTACAATATGATCAAACAATCTAACTTTTTGGTGTACAGCCCATGGAAACACAATCAGCATATTTAAGGAATATCTACATGCCCATGTTTACTGTTCACAATAGCTAAGATATAAAATCAACCTACGTTTCCATTATGGATTAAAAAATATTATATATATATATATATATATATATATGCTATGGAATGCTATTCACCCATAAAACAAAATGAAATCCCTTCACTTGTGACAAAATGGGTGAAATTGGAAAGCATTAAATTAACTTAGTCACACACAGTGAGACAAATACCACATGATCTCTCTCATATGTAGAAGCCAAAAGAGTTGTTCTCAAAGTAGAAGAGAGTGCAGTGGTAATTACTAGATGTTAGACGGTTGGGGAGAAGGAGGGATACAGCGAGGTTGGATGCCAGGTACCAAAACATAGTATGATAAATAAAACAAATTCTAGTGCTCATAGCACAGCAGGGAGTTCTCAACAACATATTACAGATTTACCGAAGTAGCTGGAAGACAAAACAATAAAAACAAAAAAAGAATAAAAAGGAAGCTGGAGATTTAGCTCAGTGGCATAAGCGCCTGCCTTGCAAGCACACAGTCCTGAGTTCAATCCCCGGTACCAAAAAAAAAAAAAAAAGTAGCTGGAAGAGAGGAGTTAGAAGGCTCTAAAAATAAAGAAGTGATAAGAGGGAAGTACTGATTACCCAGATTTGATTGGTATACATTGTGGGCACACTGAAATATCACACTGTACTCCATAAATATGCGCAATGGTTATGTGTTAATTTACAAGACAGAAAAGGATACAAGCACATTGCAGTGATTACTGTGGCCAGGGCAGACCTGGAGGATGCAAAGAGGTCACAAAGGGAGTACTGAGGAAGAACATTCCTGATGGAGCTGAGCAAAGACAAAGGTCTGTAGGCTGGAAAAAGAAACTAAGGTGATTGGAAGGTGGTAGGCAAGGCCTAGAGCAGAACCTGAGGGTCTGGACCAGACAAGGCCATGGGTCCATGCAAAGGTGGTGCATTGCTGAGCTACCTGCCCTGCTCTGAGGAGATGGACACTTTAACAATATCAATTCTTAATTCTCCCAGTGCACAAACACGGGAGACCTTTCTTTTCTCTTTTTCTTTCCTTTCTTTGTTTCTTTTTTCTTTTGTGTGTGTGTGTGTGTGTGTGTGTGTGTGTGTGTGTGTGTTTTATTTCTTTCATAATCATTTTGTAACTTTCATTACAGAAGTCATTACTTCCTTGGTTAAATTTAAATTTATTCTTAGTGTGTGTGTGGGGGGGGTGGGTTCTTTAGTTGTTGATCTTTTGTTTTTAAGATGAGATTTCACTATGTCGTCCAGGATGGCCTCAAGCATCTGGACTTAAGGAACCTTCATCTCAGCCTAGTGAGTAGCTGATATTTTCAGTGGGATCACTTTGATGATCTCTTTATGAGCAGGTTCATTACAAAAATGCTCTGAGGAGATTCCTTTCCTGATGTGGGGAGGGTTGGTGCACACTGATGCTTACAAAGGCTAAAAACACACCCAAGAACCACCCATGCACATGGACTGCCTTGGCCTGCACTGACTCTTGGGAATGGCAGGGCATGGGGTGAGCGGAAGCCTGCTGGTCTGGCTAGGACTTGGTCTGAGAAAGGCAACAGGTTGCATTGATCAAACCATGTCACATGGTTACCCAGAGCAGAAAAATGAGCTGAAAAAGCAGCCTTTTAGGTACATTTTGACAATGACTAACCAGGGTAGTTTTAGAAGCAACAAGGACAGATCCTGGATGGTGTAACAAGTGTTTGCCTGAGTCTGGGATGTTGTCTAGGTGTTTTTCCTTAATGTCTGCAAAGGAATGTATACAAATCAAAGCTGTGGGATGATTTGGAGAAATTTAGCCCCCCCAAAATCCTTGTCTTTTCCTTGTTTCCCATCAAGATACCAGTTCCTTACTGCACAGCCAAGTTTTGCCCATTCCTTGCCTTTCGTAAAGAATAATATACAGTGAGAAAAACAATCTAGCCACCGATTCTTGCAACGGTGCTGAGGAAACCTTACGTATGTTTGTCTCTGGTGACTGCCATAACTCAAAGTGCTGAGTCAAAAAAATGTCTCAACTTTTTTAGTCTATTCTATAGAAGATATGCTTTCTTTTTCACATACTTCCAAATTCACACCCTAGAAGCTATTTGCAGTGTTACAAAATTCCAGTTTACATGCCCTTTTCTGTTTGAAGAACTATGTTTCAAATTAATGTTTTAACTCAATAATCAATGAGTGAGAATTAATTCATGGTTCCTCATGTACCTCTCCAACTGCTGAGAATAGAGAGTGAAAAGAGCCTAAAGTCACTGGAATGTATGTCCTGGTAGGAGACACAGCCAAAGGGCACCCAGACAAGGGGCAGAGTGGGAAGGTTAGGAATTAGGAGACAGATTTCCAGGCATGAATACAGATTCTGTGGCTTCCTGGTTGTGTGACTTCAGGCAAATTACTTGCTTCTCTGTGCCTCAGTTTCTCTGATAGGGATAGTTGTAATACTTACTTTTCAGAGCCACAGTGAGACTGCTTTCTGGCTCACAGTGATAAACAAGGTCCGAAAGCTGAGATATAGATGTTTTAGAAGGTAGAAACTGGAGGATGGCAAACTAGTGCCTGTCTGGCTTGACTGTATTATGTGGCTTAATTTATATGAAGTACATAGAATTGTGCCTGGTATGTAGGAAATGTTCAATACATGTTTGCTATGAGTGGATGTGGTAATTCCAACACTGTAGGAAGCTAAGCAGGAGGATCATAGCCTGGGTAATTTAACAAGACCCTGTCTCAAAATACAAAATGAAAAAAGGGGTGAGCTATGAAGGGGTCTGACCTCCGGAATCCTAAGCTGACCAGAGACCACTTTAAGCCATCCGCTATCGTTTTATACCTGCGAAAGATGTCTACCCAGGGGTTCGTAAGGCCCAGTAAGCACAGCTACAGTTGTAACTCCCACCATCCTTCTGCCCTCTCCTGTCAGGCAGCCAGCATTCCTGAGCTTTCCCAAGCCTTGTTCCTGGCAGGCAGCTACAACTCCTTTCCACTGACCTCTCCCCCACAGCAGTTCCATTCTGGACCTTTTCCTCTCACAGCCCCCTGCATGCTCATGACCCTATAAGAGACCATCTGGCCCGTGTGAAAGTGACCGGTCTGAATGTGGGGGTGCTCCCTCTCAGGTCAGTTCTGAAATAAACATGTCCTGTTGACCTTGTGTCTTTGTTTCTTCTTTTTTCTTTCCTAATAGGATGGAATTCAGTGTAAAGGTTCTGGACTCAATGCCCAATATCCTGCACAAAAATTAGCCGTGATGCTATTTTAACTACTGAGTTGGTTTGCTTTGGTTTGATCTGATCTCCACGGGGCTAGGTAAGGTCTATACAGGTACTCAGAAATGGCCAGACTGGACTTTCAATGAAACCCTGTCTCAACACCAACCATCACCACCAACCAGATACAAAGGAACATTCCAGGGCAATTTTTAACAGGCACTGCTAGAGCATTCTTGCACTTACAACTGTAAATTTCCTCTCTCAGATTCCTGTATAGAATTTTTTTCAGTTGCATTTGCCTGAGGTGGAGAATTTGCTCCATCCCATGAAAGACATTATGAAGATTTGGAAATACAATCTAGCAAGATTGAGACTGCAATCACTGGAAGAAAACCCCCACCGAAAGAAGAGGTACCCACCACACCATTCACCCTACCCGTCCCTCTCCTGCCCCTTCCCCAGCTCTTTATTACCGCACCCATAGTGGCTATTATATCAGCATTTCCAATAATGAAAAGAGGGAAAGCACAGACCAAAGCTTTCATGGAAAGTATTGTAACTCTCAGAATCCTTGTCTTAAAAAAAATATGATTTTGAAACCTTAAAACTCAACCCTGTGAAAAGTATGTTCTGAGGAATGCTATTTCCTGGCACAACATTATCTTTGTCAAGTGACTCAGTGTGTTTTTTTATTTTGTTTTGTTTTTTCAATATGAAGTGGCCCTAAATTACAGAGAAACAGTGGGCCTTGGTATCAGTTTGATGAGAGGGATTTTCCCTGTTTGAGAGGGGCTTTAAATGCCACCAGTTTGGAAGGTGTCTGCAATCCAAGCGAGCTCAGTCCTCTGTCAAGATGCTCCTGATCGCGGTCCTCACCTCTGCCTTGCTCTTCTGCTCTGCAACAGGGCAGCAGTGCTCCACCTCTGCGGGAATCAGGGACATCAACTACCTCATCAATAATCTGCAGGTAGGCTGAAGGGCTGCAGGGAGCACAGTGGCTGACCACAGCGGAGAGCTCTGTGCACAACTCATGTGGGTTTTCATTTCTCTCCCTACTTTAGAAAGATGCACAGTCCACATGCAACTGCAGTGCCAATGTGAGTGCCCGCTCTTTGTAAAGAACTTTCCTCACTAATTTTGGTTTTCACATACGGAATCCTTACCCTGAAATTTCTCTTTTTGCAGGTGACCCGTTGTTTGTGCCTGCCCATCCCTTCTGTAAGTATAGTAAAAGATAATGATCTTGATCTTATTTTCGGTTAAGGTTTTTAACTAAAAATGAATCATTTTGCTATTTTAAGTGAGAAACTATTACTTACTTGTAATTGTTGCAGATCTTGAAATTCTGTGCTATATTCATCTCCTTGTACTTGGATAACTTTATGGTCTTTGAGAAGTTAGAACACTTCAATATTTCAAAAAAAGTGTGGCTATCCTTTTAGATAAACGGTCATACATACAGTATGCAGTTACATTGTTGAACTATGCTCTGATGGAACAGAGTTTGTGAGTAATGGAAGGGACCCCAAAAGAGATACTCCCCACTCTGGCAGAGGGAGGAAAAAGAAATGTTTTTATCTCACCGCAACTAAGGCTGAGTGCTCACCCAAGCCGGGCCTGGGAGAAGTTGAATTTCCCACCCCAGCTGAGGTCAATACCATGCCCTGTGTTGACCATCAGTCACAGAGGTGAGAAGAGGTGAGGAAGAGCCCCACCCACTTGGTCCACAGTGCCGGGGTTTGACTCTGTTGATAGGCTACCCACACCCAAGGGACACCCCACTTGCTGGTATCAGGGGCTTCCTCCTTCCGCACTGTCAAACTTTCTCCTGTTAGACTTGGGGGACAGGGCATTGGGAAAGAGCTATGAGCTGTGTATTTGCCACAGCCTACAGCCTGTGTTTCCTGGATGGAACATGCTAGAAGTCTTCTGGCAGAGTCAGTGTGGAAAAGTGAGAAAGCCTTGAAATACTGAATGAAGGTCCCTTCCTAAACTGGCAAGGGACCTCTGAACAAATAGTGTGACTTTAGACTACATGAGTCAAATTAAAATAGTTTCTAAGGTGATTTTGTCCTTATAGTGCTTCTTTTTCAGAAATCCTTGTTATTTTCTAGGACAACTGCACCACGCCATGCTTCCGGGAGGGGCTGTCACAGATGACCAGTGTCATACAGAAAACAAAATTCTCACTGATCTTCAACCGAATAAAAAGAACAGTTGAAGTCCTAAAGAACAACAAGTGTCCAGTGAGTTTACATTTATATGTGAAATGTTCTTGTAGGTGATTTTTATGCAAATGATGGGTGTCCACTGTGACTAAATGGCGCATGATGATAAAGTTGAAATTGGTATTTCAATGTTCATAAAGTGACACCTAAGAAATGTAATCAGAAACAATGGAATCAAAGTGAAATTTATCCCAGGGATTCCATTGTTTCCTGAATTAAAAAAAAATTCTGGTATCTGTGTAGCCATTTTCTTCTTGAATAATGAAAGAATCTATCCCAATTATAATTAGAAGCTACAACCTAAAAAATAAGAACTAGATCCCGCTTTAAATTATCTAAAAGAGTCCATCTGCTAACTAAGTAGATATGGTGGTCTCTAAATTAAAGATTTTTCCCTCAACTGTCTAAGTAGATTTTTAAAGTAAAATGCACGCAGACCAAGGTAGATGCTTGCCACTTGCCCATCTTCCTCATATGTCCTTGTGTTGGGGTTGGGGCTGAGGACCTCTCTGCTTCCCTCCGTGTTAGCATCTGCTGACCTGCACAGCAGCCCTGGCTGGTTATGTAATTGCTGGTGTCCTACCACCAACAGCTTCTAGACCGATATAACCTGTTTTGCTAAGTAGTTGTCTTAGGAACAGTTGTTCAAAGTTCTCATCTTCATGTGAGAGAGAAAACGGAAGCTCAGGAAGGTTAACTAATTTGCCGGAGGTTATATATTTAATAAATGATACAATTGTGATTTGAATTTGGGTTTCTGTGACCCTAAAGTTTCACTTTTAGCCATTGTGATTTAGGATGGCCTTGAAAGGACAGGGAAAAAGGATGATGATACATTAGAGACCTCAAACTGTTCCAGGTAAAAGTTTCCTCTAATGGGGAGCTTCCAAGCGACTTCTTAGGCGTCCAAAGATGAATGTGAGCAGACTCCTATTTGCTCCAGGTCTCACTCCTCTGTATTCCTGTCCTCCCAGCCTCTGAGCAGGGCTCTTGCTGGGGCTGCTTGGTTCCATACTGCTTTAGTCACTGTCCTTGTCAACTTTTATCTCCGCAGTTTTTCTCTTGTGAACAGCCATGCAACCAAACCACAGCAGGCAACACGGTGACATTTCTGCAGCATCTCCTGGAACCTTTCCAGAAAGAAATGATGAAGGGGAGAAAAGCTTAAGCATGAAGATGACACATTATTTATTCTATTTATTGAGTTTTTAAAAGTCTTCTCTATAAGTTTTTATAATTAAAAAATCAAGTGAGCTACTTTAAATTAAAATCAGTTGATATCATTTGTTTAAGATGTTATAACTTTATTTTGGAATAAATATAATGGGAAAAAGAATACAAGCTGTCTCTGAGTGCTTCTTCATGACATATTCTTTCCTTGATGCTCAGAACAAAGAAAGCTATGAAACTGTCAAAGAAGAGAACGGATAAAAGACTCCACAATAAAATGACACATGGTTCTGAGAGTGGGACCGCAGGGGTACAGTTATAAAGTGCTCATCTGGGACAGTCTGAAGGGCATCAGAGCCTGAGGGCACGCTGAGGGCACACAGGGCACTGCCCAGGAGCTTCATTCCTGAGAAACCAACCGTGCACTGGAAATAGGAAAAGGTGACCACTTAGTAAATCCAGTAGCTTCGGGACTGCTCAAGAATATGGGACGGTCGTGCACAAGACAGCAAACAGCTTGAAGCTGAACTTGCAGACTGTCACAGGGAACATCTTTTGGGGCAGACCATGAAACAGAGAAGCCCTGAGATCAATACCATCTATTCGCCTGCAAGGCTTTCGGCAAGCACACAGCACATACCAGCGCAAGGCCTGGCTGGGTGCAGGCTCTCATGGGGTAAGTTCTAAGGCACCCTTGAAACACGGTCTATGGCTGGGATCACACAGCTGCACACCACACCTTAATACTCTGCCTGTCCCGGCGCTGCTGCTCTCCCTGGCCTCCGCTTCACTGGGCTTTCTGTCTTCGAAGATGCTTCCATGCTTACTGGTTATTATCTGACCCTCCCTGCTCACTTGCCAGTTCCCTGAGGGCAGAGAACTGCTTTGTTCACTTCTAAGGCCTGGGTCAGCACAGGGTAGGTGCCAAGCGAGTGTGGTCTGAACAGATACAAGGCTTTGGGATGTAAGAACACAGTGGTAACTCGTGCCTGTGTCAGGACTGTTTATCCCTGGGGGAGGGACAGAACCCAGGGCACACTGTGGTGGCCTCCCTGACACCTGTGGGTAGGTCTAGGCTGAGCTCACATCACCTAGCCCCTTGGGATGGGCAGACTCCTATGTGGCCTCCAGGGCCCCATGTTGTGGGCAGGTGGAGCCAGAGTTAAGACTGGATCAGGGTTGTCTGAAGAAATGGCCCACTCCCCACAACCTGAACACTTGGAGGACTGGGAAGAACTCAGATCCTTTCATTATTTATGTTTATTTTTTATTTTTGCAGAGTGTGGGATCAAACTCAGGGTCTTGTACTTTCCAAGCAAGGGCTTTACCAGTGAGCTACACCTCAAGCCCCAGGACATAAGGGCTTTGACAGGATAAAGTCCATGGTGGGGGAGAAGTCACTTAGGTTCTTCCAGAAAAGGAACTGCCTCCTCTCCCAGATGGAAGAGCCACTCTAGCCCATCGTGACTGCTTCTCATTACAATACAGAAAGTTCAGAGGAGCCAGAGTCAGAGTTGCTCAAAGCGCTGAGATCCGCTTCTGATGTCATCAGTTATAATGTCCAGCAAAGTCTGCATGGGACCTGCCCCGCAAGCAGGTATCCTCTCAGAAGGCCCAGCCCTGGAGTTGTGCGGCTGCTTCAGAGAGGAGGGGGCCCCATGTTCTGCCCTCTGCCTGCCACCAAGCCCATCCTGCACAGCACGGGTGAGAGGGATTTTTGCCCAAAGCCTGAGGCCAGGGAAATGTTTTATCCAGAGTGCAGAAACCCTGGGCCCACAGTGACACCCAACCATAGTTTTAGCCTTAATTGGGATAGAAAGATCTCAGTTATTTCTGGGGCCATGTAAATCAAAGTTCAATGTGCTATGTTTCACACTATGCTGTATTTCAAAAGGCCACTGATGCTATTGAAGGCCGCCAAGCATTTTTGGTGGAGTCTCAGACTTAAAATGTACTGACAGTAATCTCTCCTGGAGACACCCCTGCTTTCCTAGAGGCATGGAAACATCACAAGCAGTGGGGATGGGGTGGAAACGGTGTAAATTCTACAAAAGAGGTTTGCCAGGGAGTCTCCCATAGCAGTGAACAGGAGAATTAGCACTCCGATTGTTACTGGTAATACATATCAGCACCTCCTGTATATTTTGGTCCTGGAGACCACTCAGGGTTCTTGGCTCTTTTTTTCCTTATGAGTGGGGCTGCCAGTGCTGGACCCCTGCCCTTGCATAGCCCCCTGAATAGGGTGACTCAGGATGCCTGTCTTGCCTGACTCCCTTGTGGCCTGCAGATACCCAAGGACAGGTCACCTTTCCCCCCTGGCTCTTACAACTCTGCATGACACGCAGTGAGTACTGAGCAGAGAGTATCTAGCAAGTGACACATTCATTAGTATCAAGCTCTTAATATTTAAGCATTTGCTCTGATGTACTGGTCATGCATGTTTCATTTAATCCCTAACAATGGTAGGAAGTAGATATTATTTGTGCTTTATAGGTGTGGAAACTGAAGCTTTCTAGGTCGGATGACTTCCCCAAGATCTCACAGCTAGTGAGTGATACTTGAGGCAGGGAATCGCTCCCTGCTGGTTCAGGTTCCAAACCCTCTGCTCTTCCCATTTGCTTGCCTCATATCCTGTTTACATCCGATTTGCAGGTTGCATTTCCTCTGACCACTGCCCGAGGCTAAGATAGATTCACCTCAGTACCAGTACATGTGCTCTCCTCCAGGAACCTGGGGGTCAGATGAGGATCAGAATTGAAGCGTGTTCGCCCTTTTGAAAGCTAATACACAATTCATGTACCACATATTACATAACACCCATGGCAGGGCCTGGGGCAAGGTTCCCTAATTAAACGCATCAATATTCTGGAGCAAAACCCAACACAGGAGCTAACTCTCTCAGTGGTGCTCTCACAAAGCGATCAAGGTTTGCAACCAAATGAGTCACAACGACCTTGAGTTTCCTAAATTGTTTGGGTTTCAGAATGGTGATAAGGAATCAGCGGGCTGAGCAAACAAACAGGGTTTTGTTTTGTTTTTGTTTTTTCCCTAACTCAGAGCCCATTTATTCTTTATCTAGGGCTTGGCTGGTTGTAGCTAGGCAGAGGTTTTTGCTGTTCTCTAACTGGTTGGGCCACAAGGCACCCAGGTGGCGCAGCCAGGCTTTCTGAGTGGTACACAGTGTGGCTTCCTGGGAGATGCCCAGATCAGCCGTGCTCACTTAAGCAGCATCACAGTGGGGCAGCAGCTGATAGCTGCTCTGAGAAAACAGAGTGGTGTAAATGCAGCTCTAAGCACCTGCTGGCTTGGTGCTTTCCCTCTCTTCTTTGCAAAAGCTGTGAAAGTCACAGATTTGCCCCTGTAGGAAGCTCTGAGGAGGATTTGCCAAAGGAAGTGGTGCTGATATGGATCTCTTGCCTGTGATTCACAGAGCTGAGATTTATCAAGGAGCCACCTTGGAGAATGAGAAGAAAAACTAACATTTACTAAGTTCATAGTATGCAGCAGGCCCTCTGCCAAACATGCCGTGAGGAATATCTAATTGCATTCTCACAACAATCTCATGGTGTATTTATTTCGTTATTATATATATTATACATATCCCATTGCACAGAGAAGACAGTTGAGGCCCAGAAAGGTTACATAAGTTGCCAGGGGCACGTTGCCCACTCTAACTCCGCTGCTCTAAGCAGGTGGCCAGCTCCCAGGAGTAGTTTGCAGAGGGTGTGGGTCAAGACCATCCACCCATCCCTCCATCTATCCTTCAGGAAAATCGTAAAATTGCAACTCAACAATTCTCTTTCTATGCCCCATGTCACTGTGCTGCTCCCCATATTTTCCTGGTCCAAGACCTCCCTATCCCCACAAGAGGACCTCAGCAGGAACACAAAAAGGTCCTTTCTTTATTCCCAAAAGGTTCTTGCGGTCTTTTCTCTTGCTCAATAGTTTTATTAAGATATGAGTCCCATGATTTTCTCTATACAAGTGCATATCATCTGCAAACAGAAGTGCTTTACTTCTTTTTCAATTTGGATTATGTATATTTCACTTTCTTACCTAACTGCCTTGACTAGAGCCTCCAAGCACAATGTTGAAAAAAGCAATGAGGAGTGGACCCCCATGTTTGCTTCCTGCTCTTAGAGGAAACCTTCAGCCCTTCACTGTTAAGTATGATTCAGGTGGGGGCTGTACATAAATGCTATTTACTGGCCTGAGAATGTTATCTTTTATTTTTGGCCTGTTGAGCATTTTATCATGAACTAGTATTGCATTATGTCAAATGGGTTTTTTTTTTTTTTTTTTTGGCATGCATTGATGTAATAGTCCTTTATTTATTAAAAGAGAGGCTAATTCTTGGCACTTGGATTTCCAAAGGTAAAGCTCCCAGTTCTGGCTGGGGACAGGGTATAGAAGAGATGCTGGAGAGGAGAGGAGGAGGCAGCCCCTGCTGTGCCCTGAAATGGGGCTGTGCCCTGAGCCTGTGTGACGGCTAGGGTTAAGGACCTCAGAGCGGGGACACCTGAGCTGGCTATCATAAATCCCCTGGGAGATGAGTCTGAAGAGAAAAAGCTCCGGATTACCTAACCAGGTGTGGAGTCGGGAGGACCACCCGTACCCCACCCTTAGGAAGGCGGGCTGGATGTGCCCTTTGGGGGTTTCAGTGGAGAAGGTTTCCCCAAAGCAGGATGAAGTCTCAGGGTTAGCAGGTATGGTGAACCTGGGTCCCATCATCGGGTACCAGGTGGGAATGAAGCAGCCTCTGTAGAAACTACCATTGAGGGAAAGGCACGCCTGGTGCTGGCCAGGAAGAGCAGCAGGGCAGGACAGGAGCATGTTCCGAGGTTCAGATCTCATCTCCCATCCCACACGACAGGATCTAAGGTCATCTCCAGGTGGGGGAGAAGGAAGAAAAAATCTTGAGCTGAGCATTTAACTTGAAATTCCTAAGATTTACCCTGAAATGGCAATTCTTTTTCAGCCATTAGGTAAATTTAAAACAAAAAACAAAAACAACTAAATTCAGTAGGAAAACAGAGCAAGCTTCACACATTTCTGCACGCCTGAAGAGGCCTGCATATCAAGTTGAAGCACTTGACAACCACAAGCATCAAGTGCCAAATGCCAGGCTCAGCATACAGCGGGTAGGACATTGCCGTTGCCTCAACTTCTACAGATGTCAGAGGAAGAACTCTGGTTGGTACTGAGAAGAGGTGAAAAGCGCAAGGGCAAGTCCCTGTGACAGGCCAGGAGACTGAGCCACGTGGGCCTCTCTGCACGCTCCGACCGAGGAAGGGGTATCATATCTCCGGATGGATCTCCGGATGGATTCCCGATCCTCTTAGCTTAGATTCTCTGCTGCATCAAATATTTCCTGGAAACCTCTTTGATATTTCCTGGAACCTTCTGAAAGTCAGAACCTTTTAGTGCTGTAATCAGTGCCCCTACAGACATCCTGAACATCAGAAAGGTCATGTGAAAGTCTACTTCAATCCCCCCACCTTCTCTACACTTATGGGGTGTCCACTTGAGGGTCTGAAGGCCTCGTACCTGCAGTTCTCGGGGTTTCACAGGCAGAGATCTGCCCCAAGAATGCCACTACAGGAACCTCGTGTCTGCTCAAAAAACAAAACAGAACAAAAACTCAGACTTAAGAAAGCAGCAAAAATCCCAAACCAGAAATGATACAGTGCCTCCTGCCTTCCTCCAACCCTTATGTTTTGGATTTCACAGTTTTAAAACCTTTTTTTTTTTTGAATCTCGCTGAAGTCAGAGATAGTAGGTAAAAGAAGCCAGTGTGGCCATTTTTATAGATGAGGAAACTGAGGCCAGGGGACAAAAGCTTTCTGAGATCACGCAAGTAGCCAATGGCTGACCTAGGACTGAATCCTAGGGTGATCACCTTAATCTGACTTTGTGTCCACTACAAAGGAAATGGAAAACAACAAAGGAAATAGTGACCCAGAAACAGGAAGAAAAGCATCAGAGGGCAAATACTCTCACCAAGGCCAACCTAGGTCATCCTCCACTAGGTGGGGACTCCTGTCAAGGCTTTAGTTGACTTCTGCTGCCACCAAGTGGCAATCATGAGGTATATCAGCCAAGAACACATCTCAAATCTTTGGATGAGGGATTTGCCTCACAGGGCAGTGGTTCTCTAAGGCATTCACAAGGTCAAAATTATGTTTATGTAACGCAAAGATGTCATCTGCATTCCTCCCTCTCACTTTCTCATGAATATGCTTGACGTTTTCCAGATACTGCATATCAAGTGACATTGCATAGACTGAAAGCAGGAGCAGATGGAGGAATCAGCTGCCTTCCATTCAAACCAGACAGCAGAGTAGTAAATATGAAAAGCAAGGCCAACCTTATCATCATTTTTGCTCAAAAGAAACATTTTAATAAATTATGTTACCGATGCTGACAAGTAGTGAGTTTATGATTGTATTTTATATGCAGAAATATTTTTAGAAGTTTTTATTCCTGGTGCATATTGGTAAATAAGCAAAAGTTTTGGGGGGCCCTAAATAATTTTTAATGACAGCAAAATTTTATTAAAGGGAGGAAGAGAATCTGGCTCTGTAGAGCGAGTCTGAGGCAAGAAAAAGGAGGAAAAGCAGTGCCCCCTGCAGTGGGAGGCTGGGAAGGAGGGAACATAGTGGTGGCCCTCACAGTTTCCTGGATGGGAAAGGCCAGCTGCTGACCAGTGCAGCTGACCACAAAGCTACGGTTCTCACTGAGTCTTACCTGCCACGCTGACAGCTCTTCGGCTCCAGGACATCGACATCAAAACTGGAGCTCTGCTTGGAGTTGTTTTTTTTTTTAAAAAAAAACAATATAATTTCTTTAAAGACATTCTTAGTGACATAGAAATCACTGTCTAAACCTGAGGTGCCCGAGGGCAAGGTCCCTGCCATCATGACTGGCACAAAACTGGACAAAGTCAGGCTGTTTTGGGGGTGTGATGGAATGAGAGAAAAGCCATATATACGTTGACTGAAAAAAAAACCCCAAGCTATTGGCCCCAAATGCTGTCCACTAGATTATTTTGGATGACCCCTCCTTGTTCCATGGGATTTGTCAGGGTTGGGGTCAAGTTTCTGCGTTAGAACTGAGTTTCATTTGTTCCCGCCCTGGTGTTCTTCTGGGGGGACCTGGATGCACGAAGTGTGCCTGAGGTGTCACCTGTTCCACGTGGGGCAATAAGGGGTGACAAAGCTGTCACAGCCTTGCTGAGGGCGGGCAGCATGGTGGAGCCAGCCGGGAGTCTGGAAAGCAATTGCCAAGGGTGTGTCCTGCTACACACACACACACACACACACACACACACACACACACGTGCTTTGTAATGGTAAAGCATAAAACCAACATGTGCTCACTGTGAAAAATGAAACCACTTTGTTGGACATAAAGCATCAAAGGAGAAATTGAAATTCCTCCACCACGTCCGCCTCCCAGGAACATCACCATAAAGTTTGGTCTAGATCTTTCCTGACACTTTTCAGTGCCCAGATAATTGTGCATATATGACATATATTGTAAAATGAAAATGAGCAACATACTTTCTTCCCTGCCATGTCAGTTCTGTACTCATATACTTCTGACATATTTCTGTAACAAGGTGTGGAAGTCCTGTCTCATTCTTTTTGATGGCTATGTGACACTTCTAGAAGACAAATGCATCTCCATTGCTTTAATCCCCTCCTTGACAAGTAGAAAGTCTCTAAATTTCTATTGTTCCAGGAGGTTCTCAATAACCATTATGATGCTTCCTTTGTTTGCAAAGAAAATAAAACACTTATGTTTGTGAGTTGTTGAAAGGAGAGGGAGAATTATGGAAGCCTTAAGCTGGGCTTGAATGGGGACATTCCTAACCCTGAAGATGGGTTGGAGTTGTCTAGGCTGAATAAAATTGCAGAACAGGGAGTCCTGGAGGGAGGTGATAGACAGCACCTGGTCCAGAGGGGTCCATTGGATCACTCAGTTATTTCTTCAGCAAGTGTTTGGATACCCGTTATGTACCTAGCACTAGATGTAAGAGAGGAAGTGGCTGAACCACAGAGCAATGGTGGATGTATGGAAGGGAAGCTTCTGTCATTTACAGAAGGCCGTCAGTGATGGCTGGAGACCCCAGTATTATGCATCTCCAACAACTTTCTCTCTTTTGCACTGTGAAATTCTGCTAGTGTGGTACTCTAAGGCGGACCACAAGGGCAGAGTGCCTTCAGGAAATTACCAGAGGAAACTGGTGATCCAAGTCCCTATCAGAGTCTCACATCCGTTCAAACCTCAGTTTGCCCATCTGTAAACTAGATCAGCAATGCTTTATTCAGTTACCTTCTGCTATCATCAAGGGGCACTAGGGTGATGAAAAAAACCTGGGAAGCACTTTAGCTGAAAAAAGCTATTGTTCCCTGGCCTTGTCAGGAGTGCCCAGTACAAGGATCTAACAAGCCTCATGATGCTGCCAGCACCACCTCCAAACCAACTGCACAATCAGAACCAGGACCAGGAAGTAGCCTTCCTGAGGCAAACCTAACAAAGATGCCTTAGGATTTGCTACAGTAGAGATTTGGGTCCACCTGCAAGTGAGCCAGATACCAAAAGCATCTCTTCTCCAGCATCCTCAGCACCCGCCCAGGCCAGGTGATGTTGGGTAGGCAGAAAGACTCAGCTCTGCTGCCAATAGAGACTTTCTAACATGCCAGCATGGAGTTGCTGTGGGGCCCCTTGTATTGTCCCCAACATCTGAGATGACACCCAGCAGGTGCTCAGCAAATGTATGATGTTTGAGTGACTGGAAAAATGAGTGTCCCACTGCTGGGGAGAGCACCTTTGAGGCCCTTTCCAACCACCATGCTGTGTCCTAGTGACTTGGGGAAAAGATGTGGGGCCACCATCCATGGTTCCTGTGCTCACTTGAGTGGAGCAGGATTCTGTCTGGGCCAGTGACATCTCCAGGGGCCTGAGGAGAGCGAAGAGTGAGGGTGATTGGTGCCTCCTGGAGGAACTCTCAGGTTACCATCTGGCCAAGCCGTTCAACTCATGGTCTGTAGAAGTAGAGAACAGGGGAAGAGGCAAAAAGGAAGGGATGGGGGACTAGACATTACCCCTAAGATATACTCACGCTATGATGAGACACCCAAATATACACAGTAGTACACTTTCCCTGGATGCCATGAGTTAAACAGCTTTCCTCCTGTCACCATGATATTTTTCCCCTGGAGTAAATCTACCATGTACTGAAACCTCCAAAACCGTGAGCCGAAATAAACTCTTCTGTAACTTGTCAGATATTTGGTCCCAATAACAGAAAAGTGACCGCTAACACACCCTTCCACATAATTCTAACAGGAAAGAAAATCTAGAAGTCACTCTAGAAATGTTCTGTGTACACGAAGCATTCACTTTGTTCTCCATGTGAAAATCAGGCCCAGATAATACCCACTGCCATCCAAGCTCAGGGACAGCATCTCTGAAGTGCATCACTATGTACCACCAACACACGCCACTGCTCAGGGCAGGGAGAATGCTTTGCCTGGTTGCCCTTTCCAACCCCTGTGCCTTGCCCTGCCTGCCTCAGGCTGGTGGTACAAAGGAAGTAAAGCTACCATCCATAGTTCTTTTGCTTACCCGGTGAAGCTGGTCTCTCTCTGGGCCAGCAACATCTCCAGGGCCCTCAACAGGGTAGGAATGAGGATGCTGATACTTCTTGGAAGCTTGGAAGAGCCATCAGATACAGAAACAACTTGGAGAGGTTTTCAACACTTTTATTTAGAAACTTAGAGTTAAATCCAGCTCTTGAATGAATCCCCACTGAGTTCACAGAAGCCAGGAGGGTAGAGTCTATTTTGCTCCAGTGTTTTCCAGATGCTGGCTCAGAGCCAAAATAGATGGTGACTGCCTGGCCAGTGGTCCATTGCCTCTGAAGCAGCAGCTCAGCAGTCCAGCTGGAAGTGAGGAAGAGCCTTAATTGTGAAGGAGGGAGTGCCAAGGTCAGCATGCTACCCAAGAGCCCACCTGGTTCACAATCTGGATGGCCAAGGTGCTTCTTTCTCGCTTGTAAACTCACTGCTACTCATTTGTAGATGCTACCAGCACTGACCCATAGCATAACGAGGCCATGTTCAGGTGACATCAAGCCTGGGAAAAAATGAGGAAGTATGAGGAGGTCATCTTTCAAGGGTATCAGTAGCCTCTAAGGTTGAACTGCCTGCTTCGAGACTATCTCCGTGAACCTCTGATGTCAGCAGATAAAATTCAGCCTATCACAAAAAAGCAGCCTCACACACTGGCTTCTTGTGTCCTTGGGTCACTGTGACATGTGGTCTAGAAGAGAATGACACAGGGGTGAATAAGAAGTGTGCTTCCTCCATGGCACTTGCAGCAGCTGGCTGTTTCATCCCCCTGAAGACATCTGGAAACAATTCACATGTCATGTCTGTTACTTGTGCCCAGGGACTCTGAGAGTCACCATCCCACTCCTCCCTAGGAACCGAGGGGCCCTCTGCTCCTGTAATAAACATTATCTTACTCTTCTTTGGTCTCCATGATGGAAGCGGCATTGGTATACGCAATATACACTCATCTAAGAGAGTATATTGCTGCTGCCTGGAGCATGACCTGCCCGAAATCTTAGATTCAAGTCTAGTTCTTCTTAAAAGGCCTTGATCTGGGCATAGTGGCACACCTTTACAATCCCAATACTCTGGAAGGCTGAGGCAGGAGATCCACACATTCAAGCCCAGCCTGGGCAACTTAGTGATGTGGTAAGATTCTATCTTTAAAAAACAAAAGGGCTGAGAGTGTAGTTCAGTGCAAAGGATCTGGGTTCCAGGCCTGGCCACAGTTAGCCCTAAAGCAACAACAAAAAGGCCTTGACATTCCTGGTTCTCCATTAGAGGAGGAAGTGGAACATTTTGGGCTAGGATTGTTCAAGACAGAACCTAGAGCGCTTTCCAGGAACCTCCCTCTCTCACGTGGCAGTCCACTGTCCAAAGGAAGACAGATGCCCGACCCCATGCAAGAAAGAGCTCTTTCGGGAAGAAAAGCTTCCAATTTCCTAACAGTCACATCTAGAACGACCATGACGAGCTGGCTCATCAGAAACGTCCTCCTCCTTTACATGCCAGTCATCAGGGTGGCCACGAGTAGCCCAGGATGACAACTTGGGCAAGCATCCAGGCTGGGATCTGGGAGGGCTTGGCAATAAAACCATGTTGGAGCTAAAGGTTTAATTTGGAAAAATGGCCTTGAACTAACAGATAGGTGCAAGTGGGTGATATACACTGTGTAAAGTAGACTTTGCTTTGGGGGACACACTTGAAAATATGTGGAATAGTAACAAGCTCTTATGGCTGCAGGTCTCTTTATTTTGTTCTTTCTGCTTTGTCTACAACAACAAATATACTGATTTTAGTATGGGATTTTTAAAAGCAGAGAGCAGCTGAGGTATGAGCACAGCTTTAAAAACAAGACAATCTCTGCACTGTCCTGGATGTGACCCAAATTCAGGGACCCTTCGCCAAGGTTTAATTGTGTAAAATGTGTCACCACTCTTCATTTTACACAAAAGGGCAAAGAGCCAGAAGAGCTGTGCATGTCGGTGCTTTAGTAAAAAGCTGAAAGCAGTTTACGTAAAGCCAGCTCCGATGTCGGTCCAGGGCTCACTGTGGTCAGCCCGACTGATGGCGCCCTCTCCTTTCCTCCAGGATCAGGTCCCCTCATGCTTCCCATCGAGTCACTGTGACCCCACAAAGGCCCCGTCTGGCCCCCGGACCCCAGGGAGGCCACAGCAAGGTTTTCTAGACTCCCTTGATGAAGAACATCCTCCCTGAAAGAATTTGTAGTCATTGAGGCTGAAACGAAATGGCTTTTGACTAGAAAGTTTGGTGACTCACTCTCTGCCTTTGAACTTGGCAGGTAACCAGACAAGGCTTGGGGCCAGAGAAACAGAAGGAGGGAGCGAAAGTGAAAGCAGGAAGAGGAGGTACTGCAGAGATATTGGAGGGCAACCACGCTCCGGCCAGTGCCATTGCTGAGCGGCCATCTGAGTGCCAGCTCCGTGTGAGGGCGGGGAGCAGCTGGGGTGCTCTGGGGCCTTCACCTGGTTAAAAGCCAGGGGAGCCAGCAGGCAGCTGGGATGCGGTGGGGCAGGGCTGGAGTCGTCCCAGCACCTACATTACTAGACGGGCTTCCCGAGAAGCGGCTGCTCTGCCCAGGGCTGGAGGAGGAAGCGCTGCTGAGGCTCAGACAGCGGGGAAGGGAGGAGTGAGGAGAGGGAGTCGGTTGGGAGCACAATGTGAGCACGAACCCAGATGAGAGGGAGGATGGGCTGTGCAGGACTGTGGTGCATTGTGGTCCTGGAGAAGGAAGTAGCACCAATGGTAGGCTGTGTCTGCAGGGCCCTGGGGAGCCCTTGAGGACACTGGAGCTCTGGCTTCCCTTTTTAGAGGCCGCAGGGATCTTTGTGTAATGAGAAAGGAAAAAGGAGGAAATGCAGCAGGCAAGGAACGGCAGCAGATACTTGCCTTGAGGGGCTCTGGGAGCTCGCTAGCTGCTGTCAGACAGGCTCTGTCTAAAGATTAGCAGGGAGATGGTGTCCCGTGTAGGCAAGACGATGGGACCTCGGTTGATGCCTGAGTGACTGCATCCGTGCAGAGAACCTAAACACACTTCTCCTAGGACTGCAGAAGCTGTGATGGGGAATGGGGAGTTGAACTGGCTGACTCTGGCCTGGTTCAGTCCAGGGACTCAGAATGCCACTAGTCCCTGGGGAGTTTTTAGGACTGCTGTAGGATGGGTCAAAGGGTGAGCGTTCCAGCCCATCACAGTGACAGAGGGACACTTGAGAGACTACGATGTTTTCATAATGAAGAAGAGTTTCAAATTCACAAAAGGCTGCGAAGGAAGCACACTGACCTGGCTGGCACTCACGAGCTTGTGGCACTATGGTCCCCACGGAGTGCCTGCAGCGAGAGCTCATAGCCGAAGAACATGGCAGCACTCATAGGGAAGCCCCGCACAGCATTCACGGTGATGCCTCTGAAAAACACCTTCGCCCAGGAAGTCAGTTATTCTAGGGCCACTCGCACCATCTGAGATGCCCACCTTAGCCTCTGGCTTGAACAAAACCCAGAGACTCGTGCAAGCAAAGACCACAAGGGATGGCCTAATCACGCCTCTGCCCTGACCCAAGTTGCATCTGATGGCATTGTTCCTCAAACATTCTTTCTTAATCATTCTTTCTCCGTCTCTGTCTTTTCTGTTATTCTGTTTCCGCCTTTCTGTCTGGAAATCTTAATTAGAAAGAGCCACCAGCCATGTCCAGCCCTTGTGACAGGCACATCAGGTGACAACCCCAAAGTGCAAGTGAAGAACTCTTAAGACTATGGACACGGAGTTGGGATACAGTTTTCCCAACACTTAGCCTATGCTGCTCAGGCAAGCCCTCTGGAACTCAGTTTTCCCAATTAGAAAGCAGGAGTCACAGCAGTATTGAGCTGCTGAGGTTGACTGAGGGACTAAAAGAGAGCACTTCCAAAGCAGCCCTCCCACAGGGCTCAGGGTACAGGGAGCACTCAGTCCCAGCCAACATCACACTGCCAATGTTACTATTGGTGGTCCTCACCTGACAGGGAGAAGGACCCAGCCTCCATCACTGAGTCATCTGATTCTCTACATGGTGAATACTGAGGGGGACTGACCCACACTGCCAAGCTGCGGAGCGCTGCCTTTGCTGTTACTTGTCCCAGTCTGTGTCTTCCACCCCTAGGAGGATGGGACGCTTCTCAAGGTCTCCCTTCCCTCATGGAATCTTCCTGTTCGGTGATGATACTCATGGACAAATGTGAGAAGCTTGTGATCTATTAGAAGAGATAAGCCCCATTCCTGGAGCAACGATAACAGGCCAGGCAGTGATGGGAACAGACAAGTCCTGAATGAAGCCTGGGGTGGGGAGAAATGTGGTTTAATTTGTTCTAGGGGAAGAAATAACCATCTAAAGACAAATCCTCACCCAAGCATAAGTGACCCAAGAATTACTGGGCATGTGGTTTCAACCTGCTCTGATCCATCTATAAGACACTAGTTTAAGGAAACAAATTAGTCATTTTAAGAAAGTAGAAACCAGCTTTTTGTGTTTCCTCAGTTTCCTTGCCTTCTGGGTACTGATGAGGACAGAAGTCATGAAGGCTGCTGTCATTAACAAGATGCCAGGTGACCATAGCAGCCTCAGGATGCAGAATGGAATCAGTGAACCAGGATCTTGAGAGGCAGGCGAGCGGCCAACCCAGAGCGGGAGCCATGCAGGCAGGGCACGGACAGACTGCTGGTAACCTTAGCAGCCCTCTGTACCGGCTCAGCGCATTCGGAATGCCACAGGCTCACCCAGAGTGACTAAGTAACAGCAAGGAACTGGGTCAGGATCCGGGAGGAAAATTCCATGCTGGTACCCACAGAGGCACCCGGTGGTTGTCAGCTTGGCTCACTTGTGCGCTGTGAGGCTGAGCCAGGAGAGCCCAGCTTCAAGTGTGGGCCTTTTGCCCCACAAACAGACCTCCCTCCAGCATCTAAGGCCTGCTGGGCTGTGAGGCCCATAGAGGGCAAAGAACGCACAGACAGGCTGCCTTTTACCCAGAGCTTCTGGAATACACAGCCTCTAGGCCAAGTCCCTCCTCATGAAGACCCCGTGCTTTCCTTCTGCCCAGGGTCAAGTCCCTACTCTCCCTGGCCTACAAAACCCAACTGCCCTGGTGGACCACCTGTCATGCATTGGGGCAGCCAGCTCATTCCCGTCACCGAGCCTCCTCTGGTCCCCTCTACCTGCCACACTCTCCAGAGGAGGCTTGCAGCCTCTAGCCAACCTACCATAGCCGCCACAAGGTGGATTAAGGCTGTCACCTTCTGTACATGCTGTGTCTGCCACATCATGTCACTTTCCACAGAGTTCTCCCCTCAGCTCTACCTTGCTGCCCCCCACTGTATCCCAGGGCAATGAGCAGAGGCGCTAGGTATGGTTTTCTTCTCCAGCACCTGCCAGCACCACGACCTCCTACAGATGCTCATAAAGTGAGTCACTGAGTGAGTGAAGGAATTAACAAGCTCTTGGGTGGGAGGAAGGAACGATCTCAGGGACCTGTGGTGGTGGCCATCACATGAGTTGGGATTGAACTCACAACTGTGCAACTGCAAGGCAGGCACTAAGCAGCTGAGCTAAATCTCTGACCCATATGCAATTGACTTTTAATACTAAGGACTGGACATTATATCAACTTCTGGTAGTGCTGTCCTTTAGACTGAGCCCTTGGACCACAGTTTTGGGGCTGTTTGGATCTTTCCCTTTCCTCTGAGTCATCCTGAGTTCTTAGATTTTCCCTCAAATTAGGGAGGGAGTAGAACAGGACCCCCACAGTGTTGCTATAAAAAGAGGAGGTATGACAGAGCTGTCTGTCACAGAAATGTGAGGTGCACCATGTTTGGGGACAGGAGAAACAAACTGGCACCTGGAAATAGGAGTGCTCAGTCCAGAAGGGTGAGCAGAGTCACTTACAGGTCTCTGGGGCAGGTGGGAGGGGAAGGCAGCTGGGGGAAGAGGTCCAGGCTCAATGCTAAAAAACACTGCTGAAAGTAATATTGACACTATTAATCAATAACAAATGTTCCTAAATATTTCCTAGGTGTTGTGCATGAAATTCTGCAACTTTTTTATGTCTAATTTCATTTGACCTTCAATGGTAAGAATGAGCATCCTCAGAGAAACCAAGGCCCAGAGAGATCCATTTGTTTAAATTACCCCAACTCACAGGTAATCTGCCCTTACCTTGAACACAAGACTACTTATTCTAAGAACCATGCTAAGACCTCACTGTGCCCTGTAGAAGAGGAGCAAAAGGGTGGTTTCTCTAGGACGTGGTCAATTTGTTTATAACTGTGGAGACAACTGTGGGAACAATTTGCTTATAATCTGGGAGAAAGAGGTGTGTGGTTAAGCTAAGCTCATGGGCCATAGGGTGGACAACAGAGGAGACAAGGCTTACGGAGCCAGGTCAGAGGTGCCTCCACAGCCGAGTCCAGAGCTGATGGGAATGGTCTTGGTTGAGACATGAAAGCAAAAGGCCAACCAGGGGCACGTACCTAGTGAGAACAGAACTGAGGGGCAGGAGAGATGCAAGGTGGCTCTGGAACTTGCCAATCGGAGGAGGGGCACAAGACTTCACCTCCTGTCCTGACGAGGAAGCAAACTGTGGTGACCATAGATGTGGGTCCTGGCCGTGTCCTAATCAAGCACCAGCAATGTGGGCCTCTGGTTGTCTCTCTGAAACTCTGTCTCTACCTCCTTCCCTGGCTGGAGGTGACATCAGTGAACCTGAGCTCCTGCTCAGGATAATTGCCAGCACCTTAGGCTCCCAGTTCCCTTCCTTAAAGGGTCACAGCCCCCACATGTCTGAACCACCACCCCAGGCAACCCAATAGGCCTTCTGTTACTTACTTTAAGGCCTTCCTGTTGGTAACTCTGGGATATACAGTCCAGGACACCTTTGTATTTGTTTAAATAGACCCCATCCGCTTGGAGTCGACTTTTCACAACATCCATAGGAGTTGCTGTCCCCCAGGAAATTGCTCCTGCAGAGAGAGAAAGGCACAGGTGTCAGGGTGGGGCTTTCCAGGGTGCACAGGGGCCTGGCTCCTCTAGGTTTCTATCAATCTGAGCTCCATAAGCTGCTGTGGGCAAGGGATCGAGTTTGTGATTGGGTTGCACAGAGTCTGTTTCCCACCCTTCCCTGCACTTGCTGGGGGACTCAGTGAGGCTCCCACCTCCTACTAGTCTGGGACCCTGCATCTTGTAATATGGAGGTACAGTGCCTCTCTCCCCAAGCCTGCTGTGAGGAACAATGACCTGATGTCTGAGAAACTTCAAGCATGGCCCAGTCCTCAGCCAGGGTGAGCACCCTGCGGAGGGTGTGCCACTCCCAGAGGCAGGCTTTTCTTTGAATATGGAGAAGCTAAGCAAGCATGTGCAGTCAGACTGCTCACCAAGCAGGACCAGCAAAGCGCAATCAGAGGCTGCCTTTTGGTTTATTTTTATTTTTCAAGTCTCCTTCCCAAATATGTAGAATAGAATCTTGGCACCACATACCATTGGGTCAGCCTCATGGGATATACTCAGATCTCTCAGTTTGAGCACTTTTGTGACTTTAAAGGACTCTAGGCAAACAAGGCCACTTGGTTGTATAAACACAGAAATTGGTACATTCTTGGGCCGGAAGAGAAAACAAATCACTGTCAAAGTCCGGGACGGCTGGTTTGTTAGGTTTTATAAACAATGCCCAAAAGGTCCCAAAAGAGAACTTGATTTTCCTTAGGCCCTCTGCCACTGATGACCTCCAGGCTCTGCAGTCCCTCCCCAGAGGCCCCTGGAAACCCCTCTGGATATGGACCCTTCCCCTCCATCTTCCAGGACAATGGGCTGCTGCTTTTCTCATCTGCTGCCCGGGCTCCTTCTCATCCCTCAGCCTCACCAGGGGAATCACGATACTGGCCACTTGCACCTGATCTCAGTAGAAAGGAAGGCAGAGGGAACTTGTTGTCCTCTCAGCTAGTCCGCGTTTACAGACTCTGAGTGGGAGCAGGCAAGGGGTGGGCTTCCTGCACACCAGGGCAAAAGGGAACACCAGCGCTTGGAGGCTAGGACTGGACTTTGTTCTGCAATTGGTGTGAGTTTAAAGCATAACTACTTCTGATGGTATGAAAAGGAGAAGGAGGAGGAGTACAGATTGTCTTCTCCAGGTAGAATCTTTCCTGTCAGCATCACACATGTGACGTCAGCCTTGCTATAAAGCAATCTTCTCTTGACTTCCAAAGGTTCCCCTGACTATAGCTCCAGCTCTCAACTTCTTATTACAGCACAGCACAACCTCTCAGATGTGCAGTATATACTTGGGGCCTCTAATATGTTTTATTCTATTCTCTTTTGTTCCACTTTAGTCAGATCTTTAACTCCTTTCCCTTCACTGAGATGACTCTCAATCCAAATAGTATGATAGCAAGTACAAAGGCCCAGTGGCGAGGAGAGAGCAGGGCATAGTCAAGTTGTAGCAAAGAGAATATTTTGACTGGAGAAGAGGAAGCAAAGGGAGAAACATGAGGTAAGAAAATTACAGATAATCAAATCAGAGGGGGCCTGGAAAACCATTGCAGGGATGGTGACTTTGATCCTAAATAACAAGTGGATGAAGTGCAGGGTTCTGTATAAGATTAGGCAACATGAACATGGTCACAATATAAGCAAGTGTGGGTTTGAACTCAGGTCTTTCTGACTACAGAATCCCTGCTGTACTATTTGTAGCTGTAGGATCTTAGGCTGTTATCTAGTATGACTAAACCTGAGTTTTATCATCTGTTAAATGGGGAGGTTGATTCCTACTCTATTGGCCTAATGAAGTCTTCCTATTAAAAAGTTCAGCACACCAGCGTGGCCCAGGTGAGACCTCAATGACCAACAAGGCCCAGGGGTGTGGGTGAGGTCACACATGATGGGCAGGTGGGACCAGTGTAGTGGAAAACGTTCAAAGAAGCAGTGAAAACACGAGCCAGCAGTTGGTAAGTTAGGTAGGTCAGCATTGTGCTTTTGCACACAGATTGGGCAATAGAAGCGGGTGGATGGGGGCATCATTTTATATCAAAGGATTCTGGGAGAATTCCAACAACAGAAGACAGTCCCAGCCCCCACATCAGGCCAAGATCAGGCCCACACCTAGCACAAATTCCACTGTGAACTTGGCTAGAGTACACAACACATTTCTGGGATCTGACTTGGACCTACCCCAGAACTGTAGACACCAGAGGAATGGTTTTTCTTTTCCTATCCAGTTAGGTTTGGTTTTCTTTTGATTTTTGTGGTTGTTCTTTCTTTTTTTTTTTCCTTTGCTCTTACTTTCATGACTTAGAATTCTTACCATTTCTGTTTTCTTCTACTTGTCTTTTTTCTCTCTTTCCTCAACTATCTAGCATGATTTTAGGGTAATTTCATGGGGATAAACATTGTCTCTTCTTTTTCTGGTCCACTTCAGTACTCATTTGCTCTCGCTTCCATTTCTTTCTTCCTGTGTCCTCCAGTTTCCCAAAATTGGGTGATCACTCTCTGCCCCCCAGCCTTGGTCCTACGATATTGGATCTCAATCATCAGTATCTTGCCCCTATCCTCCTTAACCCCCCACCCCTGCCACGGCAGAGTAAAATCACTCCACTGAGGGAAAGCCACTGCATACAAGTTCCTGGTGTATGTTGGATTTTGTTACATAACTGTAGGATTTGCTCCTATGGTTATAACAGTTACCAGTTTGTCAGTAATCAGGCTGCGCTTGAGATGATAGTTATTGTTAACTGTACTACTTTAGTCAGGATATCATGCCTGTTATGCAACATGGCTTGTGTGTAACATGGCTGTGTGGGGTCATAGCCATCACAGTCCAGTACCAAATACCCAGAGGACTGGAGCCTGAGCCAAATAGATAGCAATTTCTCACCCTCAATACATTGGAAGGTAAACCCTTGGGATAGACACAAAGCCCAACAGCCAGCTACATCTAGACGACATCCCTGAAACAGACATTTTCTAGGAAAGCCTTGAGACTAAAGATAAAGCTATCTACAGTAAGAAATAAACAAGCTTCAACACAGAAAACAAAAGAAAATTTAAAAAATAGAAAAGACAAAATGACAAGATGCAGAAGCAAGAGGCAACCTCAGACCGTCAACCCACTTGGGACAAGCCCAGAACACAGTGAGAGAGAGGGAATCAGAAGCTAATCACTGGAGCTTTCAGAAATAACAGCAACAGTGGTAGAAAATCAAATGGAAAAGGCTATAGAAAAAATAATCTCTAAAGTGCAAAAAGAAATGATGATCAAAATGAACTTTATTTATTTATTTATTTATTTATTTATTTTTGGTGCCGGGGATCAAACTCACAACCTCACGTTTGCCAACAGGCACTTATGTCACTGAGCTAAGCCCCAAGCCCCAAAATGAAAAATATTAAAGCAGACATGGATTAAAAAGTGTGTGTGTGTGTGTGTGTGTGTGTGTGTGTGTGTGTGACAGAGAGAGAGAGAGAGAGAGAGAGAGAGAGAAGCTCAAAAAAAGAAGACATGAATACCAAACATAGGAAAGAAATGGAAAGAAATGGGATACATGAAATAGATCCAAACAGAAGTTCAGGAAATTAAAAACTCATTTGAAAGTATATGCAACAGACTGAAGGCAATGATTAAATAGAAAATCTGGAAGACAAGATTATGGCTAGCAACCACGAAAAGAAAGATATCTTAAAAATAGCAACAGACCATGAAAAATTAAGCTAAAAGCTAGAAGACCAAGCAAAGAAAGACAACATAAAATTGATTAGAGTCAGTGAGAAAGCTGGAGATACTACAAAAGTCATTAGGAAAAACCTCTTCACAGAAATAATAACAGAAAACTCTCCAAACATGGATAAAGAATTGGACATACAAATAAATTAAGCATATAGAACTCCAAGGAGCCATGATTAAAAACTACACTAAAGCATTTAGTAAATAAAGATTCCAGAAATTTGGCACAATAACGGAATATCAAAAGAGGCCAAAGGAAAGAAACAAACCACCTATAAAGGAAAGCCCATCAGAATCACACAAGACTTCTCTACATAAACCCTCTAATCAAGAAGAGCTTGAAATGAGGTATTTCAAGTCCTAAAAATAAATACCCTCCAGCTCAGATTGTTATACCCTACAAAACTCTTTCAGAATCAGATGAGAAGATATTTCCACAACAAAGAACAATTGAAGAAATTCATGATCACCAAATCAGCATTTCAAAATTCTCCAAAGAATACATTACAAAGAGAAAATGAAGACAAACATAAGAACACCTATTAAAAAAAGCTCAACAGGCAAAGGAAACAAAGAGGAAAGACAGGAGCCAACAATAGAAAAATAACATGAAAAAGTTAAGCCAGTACATATAAGTTCTAACTATCAACATAAATGGTTTCATCTCACCAATCAAAAGACGCAGACTGGCAGAAAGGTTCAAAAATCAAGATTCAATAATATGCTGCATTTAACTCCAAAAGAAATTCATATATTGAAAGTCAAAGAGTGGAAAACAATACTCCATGTGACAGGAACCCAGAAAAAGCAAGGGTAGCTATCCTATTTGCAGAAAATGGGAACTTCAAGTCAAGACTGATCAAAAGAGACAAACAAGGTTGCCGCATATTTGTTAAGGGAAAACAAGAAGTACACCCAACTACATAAAGCAAATATTAACAGACCTGAAAAATCAAATAAGCACTAACACAATTGTAATGGAGGACTTTAATACTGCACTCTCACAATTAGGTCAAATAGACACAAAATCAACACAGAAATATCAGAATTAAACCAAACCTGTGAATAAATGGACTTAGCAGATACCTGCCAAGCATTTCACACCACAATATCAGAATACACATCAGAATATCCAAATACACATTCTTCTCAGCATGGGACTGTCTCCAAACAGACCACATATTAGCATAAATGAATGTAAGAAAACAGTACAACTAAACAGTAAAACTAAGAAAACGGTACAAAGAATAAATCAAACAATTGGTTCTTTTAAAGAGTAAATAAAATTGATAAACCCCAAAGCAGCCTCATTGAAAAGAAGAAAGAAAAGACTCAAATCCAAGCAATTAGGAATGAAAAGGGGGAAATCGCAACAGATCCGGCAGAAATCCAGAAGATCATCAATACCTATTAAGAACCTGTATTCTAGGAAACACAGAAGTGGACGGATTCCTAGATGCATATGAACTGTCAAAACTGAATCAAGAAGATATAAAAATTCTAAATAATCCAATATCAATGAAATTGAATGTGTAATTAAAAACTTATTAACAAAGAAAAGTCCACGTCTGACAGATTTACTGTTGAAATCTGGAGAAAGAAATTTGGAGGAGAAATAAAGCCACTAATGCTGAAAAACTTTAATGAAATTAAAAAAGAAGCAATATTCCAAAAATCATTCCCAGAAGCAAGTATTACCATAATACCAAAACCAGAGAAGGATACAACAGTAAGAAGGACAAAAAACAGGCCAATGTTCCTAACATATATGCCAAAATCCTCAAAAGATACGTGCAAACATAATGCAGCATATTATCAGGAAGATTACACACCCTGACCAAGAAACACTGATCTCAGCGATGCAGGGATGGCTCAATATACACAAATCTGCAAATGTAATACGCCATATTAACAAAGTCTAAGACCAAAACCACATTATCATCTCAATAGATGAAGAAAAAGCATTTGACAAAGTCCAAAACCTATTCATGATTTTAAAAAAAACTCTACAGAAAATTAGAATAGATGGTCTTTATCTCAATCTGATAGAAGCCATCTATGATAAACCAACCGCTAGCATCATACTAAATGGTCAAAAATAGCTTTTACTCTAAAACGAAGAACAAGACAAGGATGTTCACTATCACCACTCCTATTCAATACAGTTCTAGAAACATAAGCCAGAACAATTAGAGAAGAGAAAAAAATAAAAGAAATAATGACAGGAAAAGAAGAAGTGAAATTGTCATTTTTGTGGATGACATGATACGCTACATAGAAGACCCCAAAAACTCCACTGAAAGACTTGTAGATTTAATAATCAAATTTAGTAGTATAGTTGGGCAGAAAGTAAACACTGAAAAATCAAAAACAACAAACTCACTGAGAGGAAAATTAGGGAAACCATATCCTTCATGATAGCATCCAAAAAAATACATAGAAATAAATCTAACAAAGGAAGTAAAAGATATATATTGAAAATTGCAATCTCTGAAAAAGGAGATCAAAGAGAATATCAGAAAATGGAAAGATACCCTTTGCTCATGGATAGGAAGACAATGTAGTGCCAATGATCAAACTCCCAAAATTGTTATACAAATTCCATGCAAGAGAGAGCCAGGACTGTGGGTCCTGGCAGGCAAGTTTGGTGGGGGCTCAAGTGACCTTCTGCTTGTCATGCTGGCATGCAGACTGCCAAGCCAAAAGCCTGCACACAAATTCAAAGCAATCCAAAACAAATATCACTAACGTAACTCACAGAACTAAAGAAAACATTCCTGAAAGTGATTTGGAGCCAGAATAAACCTAGGACAGCAAAAACAATTCTTGGCAACAAAGGCAAAGCAGGGTGGGCATCACAATTCCTGACTTGAAATTATATTACAAAGCTACTGTAATAAAATCAGCATGTACTGACCAAAAAACAAAGAGAAAAAAAAATAGATAAAACCAGACCTGAGGATCAGTGGAATAAGTTAGAGGATGCAGAAACAATTATAAACATACTCAGCCATCTTATCTTTGACAAAGGAGGCAAACATATTCACTAGAAGAATGACAATCTCTTTAATAAATGATACTGGGAAAACTAGCTTTCCACCTGCCAAAGACTAAAACTAGACCCATATCTATCTCTATTCATTAAACTAAAGTCAAAATGAATCAAAGATCTAAAAATTAAAATAGAAACACTAAATCTGCTGGAAGAGAAATATAGGTAGCAATCCTGAAGACATAGATATAAGCAGCAACCTTAGGAACAAAACAGACTGCACAGGAAATACTACAAAGAATCAACTGGAATCTGATCCTATTTAAAAGCTTTTGAACAGTAAAAGAAATCACCAATAGAGAGAAAAGACAACTCATGGAGCTGTCTTGGAAAAAATTTTAGCCAGTAGTCCCTCAGTTCAAGGACTATATCTAGAATATATGAAGAATTGAAAAAAATGAGATCCCTCAAAATTCAAAGATCCAACCCAAAAATGGATGTCTGAGATGGAGATACAGTTTTCAGATGAATAAATACAAATGGAAAATAGATACATGAAAAAATGTTCAATATAATTAGTCATTCAAGAGATTCAAATTAGAATAACACAGACTCCATCTCACTGAAGTAAGAAGAGCTAGTATCAAGAAATCAATAACAAATCAATCAATAACAGATGCTGGCAGGGCTATGGGGAAAAAGGAACTCTTCTCCACTGTTGGTGGGAGTATTGACTGACTGCAACCACTGTGGAATTCCATGTGGAAATTCCTCAAAAAACTAGGATTAGAGATCCAATTCAACCCAGCTATTCCCCTTCTGGGTATAGTCTCAGAAAAAGTAAAAACATATCACAGCAATATATGTGCACCCACATTTATAGCAGCACAATTTGCAGTAGCTAAATCTTGGAAACAACCTAAATGCCCATTAATTGAGGAATGGATACAAATGATTTGGCCTTTTTATACAGTGGACTTTTTATACTATTCAACCAAAAAGAAGGACAACCTTGCAGCATTTATAGGTAAATGAATGCAACTTAAAACCATACTTCATAAGTGAAATTAGACTCACATGTGTAAACACTTTATTGTCTCCCTGGTGTGAGAAACTGAAGAGTTAATAAGGACTAAAATGTACAAAAGACATCATGGAATGGGAAGAAATTGTTCAAAAGGAACTAGGGAAGGGAAGGGAAAGAAAAAAATACAAGTCAGTTACACTCCTATTTTCTGTTAGTTCATTGAAAAGAAAGGTTTATGCTAGTGTTATTTGGAGAATTTTATATGCCCCTATCTTGTACTCTGTGTAACTACTTTGAGAAAATAACACACAATGTGTTAAATATTGTTTTTCTCCTATTATTTTGTTGTGAATTTTTATTTTTTCCACAAAATGAAATTTAAAAATAAAAGGTTCATAGTGCAAGCGTCTGTATAGTTTCTCTAAATGAGAGACTTAATAAATGTAGGTCTGTAAATAAACAACAAAATACAAAATAAATAGTCAGTAGAGGGATCTTGTTCAAATGAACAGGGGAACAAGAGACAGAGAAAGTGGGAGGAAGAGAGGGAAACAGAATGGAAAAAAAGAATTGAAGGAAAAAAATGAAAATAGAGATTTTGCAAAAGGGACCAAGAGTTGAAAGGAGCGGAGGCAGGGAAAGAACAGGACATGAAATGAAAAAGAAAAGAATTAATATGTATTATGCATTTGTGCCAACTTCCCACAGTAAACGTAATCATTATATATGGCAAACATGTACTGATAAAAAATCTAGACAGGTACATGGTGCACCAATATTCAGTAAAGATGCACCATGGGAGCAGATTTCCTTCCCAGAGTTCCCCAGTGCCTGGCACAGAGTAAAAGCTCACACCTGTGCCTGAAAGGCCCGTGAATCCACACAGGGACTGCATCTCACAGCTCCGAAAGAAGGTAGATGATAGAATAAGGAGCCGTTCCTCATTCCTAGCCCTTCATCTGCCTTTTGGACCTGGTATGGAGTAATGCCTTAAGCCCATGTGTGTGGCTGTAGGAGTTCCGCCCCCCTGCAAGCTGAGAAGGGCATGGCAGGCTTTGGCCCTGATCCACCACAATGGCTACCCAGGGACAGGGCTCCGGCTACTTCTGTCCTTACCTGCCACACCACCCGCCAGCAATACGGTGCAGGGGCTGGGACCTGCACGGGCCTCAGGTGTGATCCACTCACTCAGGAACACATAGGGGAGAAAGTAGAGGCAATAGCCCGGGATGTCTCTCAGCAGCATGGCACCAGCACCCCGGTACAGACCAGCCAGGCCCTCAGTCCGCACAATGGTAATGATGCATTGTACTGGCCCCTGGTACACAGGCTGCTCGCCAAACGCCACTGCTCTGGATTTCAAACCAATGCTGGCTGTGAAGACAGAAGGGAAAACATAGCAAGTGACCCAGGAGGGCAAAAGCCTGACCATTTCCTGGCCTGCAGCCTGCCCAACCCACTGACAGTACCTACTCATGGCCATCAATTTTCACCAAAACTTCTGACCTTTTCGGCAGCTCACACTAGGATGCTGAAGTCCCATGAAGAAGTCCCTGCTAATCTACACAGCCACATTGGAGATAATCCTAGGCAGGTGAAAGGTAAAAGTTGCTTTAGGATTCCCAGAGCTTCCGGGTCAACCATCGCTACATCTTTTTAAACAGAAGTGATTGCAGAACACCTAGGATCAATTATGACAAGCACACACTCTTCTTCAAGAAGCTGGAAACTCTCACACTGTGTGTGGTGTGATACTTGGATGTGCATACACATGTGTGTGCATACCTATACCCAGTACTGGGGAAAATATATGAGATGGGTGCCGTGCTAGCTCTATCACTTACCACTTTTTGACCCAGTCAGCCCAGCATTTTCAGAACCTGTTTCCTTATCTTTAAAGGAGGAACAGGCTGCCATGAGTATTAATGAGGTGACACACAGGCCATGTGGAGATGAAAGCACTGTAGGGGCTCAGTAACTGATGAGCAGAGAGAGAAGTGGCTGGTGTGAATTGGATGCAGGGCCCCATGACTGGGAGGCCAGGCATGTTCTCCTTGACTCACTCTAGCCCTGGTTAGGCTACACCCTGAAACAGCTGTAGGGTAGCACCAAGGTCATTGACTCTGCAAAGTCCAGGGCCTGCGTGAACTGCCTCCTTTCTGTCTTGGGGTCTGGGCTGGCAGGCTGTAGTTCATTCTGGCTGGCATCTTCCTGAAGGGGGCCATATAGCCCACAGAGGATTTCTCTCCCTTTTGGTCAGAGCTTCTTGCTGTGCCTGAGGCTCCTTTTTCCCCTGCTTTAGGCCATCAGCGAGCTTTAGCTCTTGCCCAGAACCACCTCTCAGTCCCCATGCATAAAAAGTGCCTCTTGCTGTCAGCACTCCCTCATCAAAGAACTCTGGTGACAGGGTTGGGAAAGAAAGAGAGTAAAATACGTCTGCGATCACAAGTCTGTTTTGCCACCTGGGCTGAGTTCTCTGCATACAGTGTTTTAACCTGATTTTACACATTGTGCACACAGGCAGTAGGTGCCATTCATGGCATAGAGTTGACTTCCAAGTCTCCTGAGCTTTATGGGCTGAAAGGTTAGGGTCATTCAGCTTCATGACTCCACAGTCCGAACTGGAGACTTGGGAACAGAAGGGAACGTGCAGTTAAACTCTTCCCAGAAGTCTGTGAGGTGGAGGTGGTCTGGGAGGAGCACTTGAACCAACTCCTCCTATGTCTGTGTCTCTCTGGGGTGGGGGGGGGGGAGCAGAGAAGCCCTGCCATCCAAACTTGGCCAAAACCAGCGCAGGCAGGGCACATTCATGTCCTTCCACATGACCCACAGGAGGTGAGCAGAAGTGAAAGTCACACAGGGGGAACAAGTCCCCTCTGAGTAAGATCAGATACTGTTGCCCTTGAAAGCCCACTGATACGTCATTAGAATCTCCTTCCTTTACCAAACCCGTGATATCACCCAGGGCCACCAGGGGAAATTTTGTCATTAGACAGATTCGAGGTCATTGTCATCGTGTAAACTTTGTTCAGGCTGCTTTCGTCGCCAGGTAACATTGACCTGAACAGGAGTCAAGGTTTTCATGAATCAGCTATCAATATGATGTGGCTTTCAGGAGTTACTGATTGAAACACAGATAGTGATTGACTTGTTCAGAGGTGAAGATCTTGAAAATACACTATCTAAACTGCCTACTGGCCTCATCAATAAAAATATCTGTGTTGTTTTTTTCCATTTCTCTCCAAGATAAGCAATAAGGAAATTTTCTTACATCCTCCCAAGTATGTAATATAAATAATGTAGCTTTTATTGCTCAAGAATTACTGATTTGTGACTACTAAACTAATATGATTGACATAGAGATCATAGTCACCAGGATGCTGACACAGCTCTGTACCGGCCCCAGTTTATGTTATTGTGTTATCAGATTTCCATCAGTACAACATAATACTTAAGACACAAGGTTGATTTTGCCTCAGTTTGGGGAAATCCTTCTTATGGTCCATCTGCCCCATTATTTTGGGCTTGTGGCAAGGCAGGTACCATGGTGGGAATGCATGACAGAGCAAACTGGCTCATCTCATCAGTCAGGGAGCAGGAGGAAACAAGGAAGGGGCTGGGATTCCAATAGGCCTTTTGGGGCCACAGTGACCTAAGTACCTCCCATTAGGCCCCACCTCCTAAAGGTTCTAATATGTTCTATAGCACCAGCCTGAAATCCAAACCTTTAATATATGGGTCATGGGGGAACATTTATCCAATAAGTCATAGCAACTGCAAAGTCCTTGAATCTCCTCCTAGTTGTCTAAATCCCTTCCAACTATGATAGGACATGACTTTCAGGGGTTACTGAATGAGGGGCAGTGTCCTGATCAAATGTTCTTTGTATGGAGAGACCGATGTGGAAAAACACATCAGCAAAACTTGCTTTGCCAACAAGCCCCGAATGAGAACCAAGCCTGTACTTTTTCTATTTTCTTCTCAAAACAAGAAATAAAGAAATTCTTTGCATAAACATACATATATTTTTATCATACATATATCATTTTGTTTTCTGAGCTGTATCAGCATGGTTATATACATTATAGTTCTTTATCCCTAAATCCTTCCAAATATATCTTCTAAGAGAAAAAATGGTGTCTTAATATAACCATAGAAGAATTATCCATCTCACACATCTACATTGATACTATTTATCAAATCTATTACCATTTTTCAGTTGATTTCATGATATATGTTCTTTATAGAATTACTCTTCCCTAGTAGAGAATGCAGTCTTTTAACTTGGACTATTTCCATGTCTTTCCTCTTTTTTATGACAGTTTGTAAGAGTACACCACCTTCATCTTGTTAACAGAGCATTTCCCCTTCAGGGTTTATCTGATGTTTCCTTGTTATCATCTCAAAATTAAGCATTTTTGGCATGAATTTTTTTTCTCTCTTCTCAAGTCTCATCTCCATTCCCATAAAAATAAATCACCCTCATGAGGCCCTGGTCTTTGCTCTTGTGGCCTCCTATCATTGTGTAAATTAATTTGTTTTGAAATTGAGGTATAATTTACATTCAATAAAAACTATAGCTCTTAAGTACATAGTTTATGAGTTCTGACAGTTACGTACATCTATGGAACCACACCCTGCCATAAAAATCACTTCTTATCCTAGAAGCAAAATGTTTTGGTCAGAGTCCACTTAGGCAGTGCTCAGATCCCACAGCCTACCACCCTCCCTGGATCCTCAGGGGAAAAGAACTCCACAATACTAAGGTGGCGCTCCTGAGATGCAAACTTCTCTGGGACAGGGCTTATTACAGTTATTAATACATAACAGTGGTATTGGAGACACAAACCACAGTGTCATCAATTCAGCCTTCATAATTCTAGGCTCATCTAAAAAAAAACACCCATCATACTACTAATGGTTAGCCCAAGTTCAAAAAACCTAAATCAATGAAGAATTTACCTAATAATTATTTTTAACAAGCAGCAAGAGCATAAACACTGTAAAGCTATGATAGAATTTAGCTGGAAAAACAAACTTTGGTGACTCTGAGAGCTAATGTAGGATGTGCTAGAAAGTAGCTCTTAGAAATATGCAACTAGACTCTTTGGACTTGCACTCCGCTTGTATAAGGACCTGAGGCAGATTGCTGAATGCTGGGTTAGTACTCAGCTCACACTGAATTGTTGACTCCCAACATACTGACCTCAAACATTTCAGGTTTGGTCACAGGGGACTGTGAAAGGATTGGCATTAGGTATACCTTCTTCTACAGTGAAATGTATTTAATTTTCTGGGATTTTTAAAACTCTCTATACCAAGACTGGCATGATGTTCTGGTCAGCGGAACTGGCCCCACCCTGTTTGTCATTTTCACCCGGGAGTGGAGAAGAGTCCCAGCAGTCCTGCACAGAATCTTCTCATGCTCCTGTCCTCAAGCTCTCTGGATCTCTCTCTCTCTCTTCTGGGCTAGAAGCTACCTAGAAGTCAGATACCTCTGAGGGAGCTTTTCTAGGAGTGTATATGATCAGATCTGACTTTGATGCTATTTTCCTTGTGTTTTGTATCTCCTGCAGTAGTGAATTTCCTGATGGAAGGAAAAATACACTGTGGCCTGTGCTATGACCCAGTGCCTGGGTCGCTGTGCATCTCAGCATCATTCCATGAATGGGAACATTTGGCGTGCACGTGCGCGTGCGCGTGCGCGTGTGTGTGTTCCAGCACCAAATTTCCAAAACCTCTAGCCTCAGAATTCATCAAAGACTGATCCTTGGGCCAGACACTTTAGGTGGTTAAAAGAAAACTCCCAAAGTCACAGACAGCAGTGGTCAATGATGCTATTGCAGCTTTTAGTAACATGTACAACCTCAGCCCATCAGCTAGCTATAAATTTTTGGCTTGGGTTTAGGTATAGCAAGTTGTGGAACCCTCAGGGTGTCATCACTAGGAAGCTCTTTGTTAGCTCCTTTTGCTAAGAAGCCTAGCAATTCCTTGAGATCTGTAGGGTCCAAAGTAGAGAGTTGCTTTAGTAGAAAGAGCCCAGCATTAGAAGCACAGAGGATTTGCATTCCTGTTCAGTCACTAATTACAGTACAACCCTGTGGGAGGGACTTAGCCTCACTTGCCCTTCGTTTCTTCAACGTTTGTAAAAGGTATGGGGTGGGGAATGAGGAGGATAAGTGGCTGGTCCACTTCTTTTGGCTTTGTGAACATTAAAAGAGAATGAAAATACACCTTACTAAAATACACATTGTAAAAATGTCCTTTACTGAAAGTAAACAGTTATTAATGCTCTAGCCTGATATGACTCTACATCTGGAAGTGCTGGACCTCCCAAGTTTGGGCATTGGTGACCTGCAGCCAAGCCTACTATG